AGTGTCATATTGTGGGAAAACTGTGGGCGATACGTAAAATCTAATTTTAGACTCTTTTTTAGGGCCGAAAAATACATAGGATTACGTAAAGTTGAAAGAAAAGTTTAATAAATCTTTTTTTTGTTGACCTGTGTTATTGTTTAAAATATTTTGAAAACGGCAAAATTGAATCGTTTTGTGACATATGTAGGTATTATACTACTATCATAAATGTTATAAAATTATTTTTGCGTAGTTGTTGTAAATTCATATCATACGACAGATAATGAAAAAAACTGTTATTCTACAGTTATTATTTTTAATAGTATTCGAAGTTAACCTTCTATAATTAGGTATATAAAATTGTATGTATATTATGAATCATTGTATTAAAAAAAGATAACGAAGCAATTATTTTAGTTACAGTTGTTTTGAACCAATAAATCATCGAGATGGTTTTGGTTATAGTAATAAGCACTATTATTATATTTTTTAGATGATGTAATAAATTATGTTCACGGACATTGATTTTAGTTAACAAATCAATTTTCTTAATAAACCCGTTTTATACAATTGTTAAAAAGTATTAAAAACCATGATTCACTGTAAAAAATATATAAAATGCACATATCTTCAATTTTCTTTTTCTTTGCCCTCTATCTAAGCAAATTCCGCGTTCAGATTTTAATACCACACAGAAAAGGCGCATAGTTAAATTCGCTCCGGTCATATATTTCTTAGAAAAGATATTTGAATAATGTCTTCTCAAACTTTGTATTTTCTATTAATACAACACTACCATCATTGTTTGAAAAAGAATGAGTCTTTTTTAAACTATGCTACTAAATAACACTACTTCTTACTTAAAAAAATATTAAAATTATAACGATAATCATCATCAATCAGCCAATCGCGTCCACTGCTGGACATAGGCCTCCCTCAGTTCTTTCCAGTATTCTCTACACTGGGCCGCTTGTAGCCAGTTTCCCGCTACACGTTTTATATCATCGTCCATCTTAGTCGGTTGTCGCTCCTCGGCTTCTTTTATAGTTTCTGGGCCTCCATTCCATAATACGTCTTGTCCACCGTCCATCTTGTGTTCTGGCTAAGTGCCCTGCCCAGTTCCACTTAAGCGTCGTGGGTCTTTCGATGACGTCTTGAACTCCTGATCTTTGCCTGATTTGTTGGTTTGTTATGTGGTCTCGAAGGCTCACGTTCAGCATTGCACGTTCCATGGCTCGTTGTGTAACTCTGAGTTTATTCGCAGATTTTTGCGTGAGTGTAAAGTCTCTGCTCCATAAGTTTGTACAGGCAAAACACACCTTTATATAAACCATTCGCTTGAGACACATGGGAATTGAACTTTTTAGAATATGGCTTAATTTGCCAAATGCTGCCTATGTTAGGCCTATTCGCCTCTGTATTTCATGTGTTTGATTGTCTTTGTTTAGTTTAATTTCGTGTCCCAGATATTTGTAAGTGCCTGTTTGTTGTATGGTATTATTGTCAATAGTTATATTTCCACTCATTACGAGATTTGTTATAAGCTTAGTTTTCTCAAAGTTTATCTTTAATCCTGCTCTTTCAGACAGACTTTTAAGCGAATGCATCATAGAAACTGTATCATCTAAGTTATCTGCGATTAATACAACATCATCTGCAAACCTTAGGTGATTTAATCTTTCTCCATCTGTATTGATGCCCATATCTTGCCATTGAGTGCTCTTAAATATTGACTCTAGAGCTGCCGTGAACAATTTTGTTGAAATATTGTCTCCTTGTCTAACTCCTCGCCCTAAGCTGAATTTTTCTGTGTCTTCGTGTAGTCGTATACTTGATGTAGCGTTCTCGTAGATGTTTTTTGATTAGTGTCGTGTACCTGTAATCTATTCGGCTTTGATTTAGGGCTTCCAGTATTGTTTCAAACTCTACAGAATCAAAAGCCTTTTCGTAATCGACAAATGCAAGAACCAGTGGTATGTTGTACTCGATAACGATAATATCACTAAAGTATTATGATGTTAGAGCTCATATTCCCTTGTTCAATATTTGATTGGGTTTTTCCGTATCAGAAGTTGCAATTGGTATATTTCTTTGAAAATATTGGTAGGTATTTAGTAGTCTTACCTGAAATTTTATCCACAAGGAAAAATTCCTGTAGCTGGCTGTATACCACGTATAACAACAAGAGGGTTAGTCCTTTGTAAATGGTATTATTTCATTTAAAAAACCTTAAAAGGGCCACATCAATAAAACAAACGTTTTCGGACCACACAGTCCATCATCAGGTATTTTTAAAATCGAAAAATGCCTAAAAATAAGTATAAACCATTTAGTTAAAACAAATGAGATTGTGAAATTTTGACTATGGTTTTGAAAAGCAAAAGATGGTTTATACTTACTAGGTCACATTGCCCTGAGCCACCAAAATAATAGGTAAAAAACCTTTAAATTACATTTAGTTATGAAAGATTGTTACATTGTGTTGTGAACATCACAGTTATTTTACAATATATATGATCAAGAAACAACATCCATTAAAAATAGTTGAACAAACGGAGCCTATTAAGATACGGCGAGAAGTCAGACAGGGTGACACTATATCATCCAAATTTTTCAATCAAGCTTTGGAAGACGTTGTGAGGAAATTACAATAGAAAAACGGGGTATTAACATAAATGGCCAATACTTGAATCACTTGAGATATGCAGACGACATTGTATTAATAACAGATAAAAGGGAAGAATTACAAAATATGATGGACGAATTAAATAGCGAGTCAACAAAAAAGGTCTACAAATGAATTATGTGTATTTGGGACAACTATTTAAATTAAATAAAAAAAATCAGACCGGAGAAATAAAGAGAAGGATATGGTTGGCTTGGGTATCCTTCGGACAACTTTCCTATATACTAAAAAACAGAAAATACCCCCAATATTTAAAAACAAGAGTCTTCAACCAATGTATACTTCCTATTCTCACTTACGGTTATTTATTGGGTGAATAATTATATATTTGTATACTAAGTATATAACACACGGATCTTTTTTTTATCAATACACACTTCCTTATTACACATTACGGTGATTAGTGATCTATTTAACAAATTTAATCTGAAAGGTACAAGCGACAAAAAACGTTGAACAAAATTCGCGACAAGCCGAAAAACTCCATAAAAGAGGCCTAATACTTATTGAGAATTTCCCAAACGTTTTTCTTTGTTTTTTTTGTTTATCACGCTGTTCATTTAAATATTTATAAACAATTTTTGGTGCCCCAAGTGAATTTACATAACAGATGTATTAAGTCTATTCAAAGATTACTTTTAAGGTTAAAAAAAATTAAAGACGGCGTAGTATGTACATTCTGTACTGTTAAAATATATTTTAAACTAGCTAAATTATACGCCAAAAAAGCGTATAATAGCAAAAAAAATAATTATAAATTTTAATGGGACTAATCATAGTGTATTCACGTTAGCTACTTGAAAATTACATAATATCACTTTTAATGAAACTACTCATTATATTCACTAATTTAAAGTTTTTAATTAGTTGTAATAATAACCAATACATAATTCATGTAATATACATTTTATATACTTATTTCATTAATTAAAAGACAAATATTATGATCATAATAGCATATTATTTAAAACGCCAAGTTGGTGTCACTTTATACCGTGATTCTTTAAAGTAATGTTCATTCTGAACAAACAGAATTCTATACAGTAAAGCTTGAAATTTGTTTACAGCTTTTCGATCTTACAGACGATCAAGGTCGTCTGATATTTGAAACCTGGAAGATGACAGCGGATTTTTGGACTTTTTTTTTCTAAATCGGGAATATCTTGGTGTACAGGTAGGACTTATGTCCCCTTACTTCTTCTTCTTAAAGTGCCCTATCTGCTCCCGAAGTTAGCCACTAGTAAGTACCCAATACACCAATAACTCGGTTAAGTTGCTCCAAACCACTTACGTAGGTTTGCAAGCCAGAAATTACTTCTTCCTGGATCTCCCTTGACCTCAATCTTTCCCTGGAGTATAATTTGGAGCAATCCATATTTTCCGTTGTTTCGTCAAATATATGCAAAATATTGCAAGTTTTCGACATGTTACTGGTAATCAGCAGGTCAGGTTGACAATTCATTCTTTAAGTAGATATGTGAACATTGATACTCGTTGTAATGCCTGGTTATTCGCTAACATTATCATGCGTTAGTTCTTAGACTTACTTATGACCATACATTACATCTTCTTCGCCTTTTATGTTCAATTTTAATACGTATTTCTCACTCATTGTTGCAGACTATCCGCTGTTATTATGATGTCATCTGCATATCAGATACTATTAGCGGTTTTACCATTTACTTCAATTCCTTCTGTAAGATCTTCTAGCCTTTTTTGAAAAACTCTGTTCGGAGTATATTATAGATTAAATATCAGTAGGGACAGTACGCAATTCTAACGAACTCCTTTCTGGTTTAAATTGAACTGAATTAAACTTGAATGATATATTGTCCATCAAATTGTACTTTCGCCTTTTGTTTCCAATATAAGATGATTATTATTCTTATATATCTTTTCATCCACTCCTGCACTTTTCAGGGTATGAATAATCTTTTCGTGATTGCATATGTCGAAAACTTTTGCGTAGTATCAGAAAATCCTTTATCCGGGCTTAGGACCGACAACAGTACTGTTGTGCTACTTGATCCACCCAACAGCACTGCGCAAAAGTTTTTTGTAATGATATTCTCTAAGATTTCCCTTTCTTTTCTCTATTGTTTATATTTAATGGGCTTCCTCTTTAAGTTTTCTCAAATATTCTCTTATATTTTTCATCAATTCTAACGTCTTACCTTTGGTATTTTGTCAACCACTTTCAACACTTTAAATTTATTTTGACACCACTATCAGTTTTCTTAATCTTGAGTCTTGAATCTGGTGTGAAATTGTTTAATGTTTTATGCTATTACTGCCTGTATTCTATATGATGATGTTTTGTTTACATTTTTAGGATATAGCACTTGTGGGAGAGTTTACAGTAAAAGATGCGATCTACTATTTTGGAAGAATATTTTCGATGGAGGATAGTTTGATAGCAAAACGTTATCGAAATCTTCATACACTGCTAGAGTTACCTCCAGACGATCGGTATGTATTACTAAATTGTAATTATTTTGCGCCTACATCATAACTCCATGTTATAGTGCAGTCTTCAGAGATTTGACCTCTAAAAATCATACGAACAAGCTGAATTTTACCGAGAATATCAATTTTGGGTCACCTAAAAGATGCAAAAATGTTTACCACTTTTAGCCCAATGCTTTCCTCTAAAACGCCTTCTTCGCAGGGGTGTGGAAACGGAAAAAATCGATTTACCAAAAATCAGTACTCCGTACATAAAAATATTTTAAATAAAAAATATAGCTAAGATAATTTTGAACAAAAATGTTAATTAGCACTTTTTGTGTAGAATAAATCCTTCTCTCAGAAATAACGCAGTGAGATTCAATTTTAAATAAAATTTATATCATCTCGACGGTAAAAATTCGATATCTTTATGTCCCTTTATGTCTTTTTGTCCTATCGGCAAAAATCAAAATGCATTTTAAAGGTGAAAAGTACAGATTTCTTATAAACTTTGCCGCTTATGAAGTCAGTTTCTGCAAAGATGTTACATAAATGTTAAATAAATAAACATTTTTTACGATTCTAATAAGATCAATAAGATTTATCAACTCCATTGACCGGTCACTATGAAATTCTCATTATTAGAGCCCAATCTACAACACATATCGCCCTAAATTTCGGTTTTGAGTTTTGGCAACAATTGTGAAGCATTAGAACAGAGGTTCTCAAAGTGGGTGACGCGGCACCCAGGGTGACGTGGAACATTTAAGAAAAGTCGAGCAACCGGCCGCTGTCCTGTCCAATCGAAATATGTTGATATTTGTACTTGTGTATTCTTGTATTCTTAATGGCGAACGAGGAACAAACAGCCGATTTCTACCGCCGCGACTGCTACCTGCATTCATTCCACAGTTTAAGTTCTTGCAGCAGATAAGTGAGTTTTGTAAAAATTAGAGTTAGATTTCAAAGTGCAAGTTTTAGATATAACTGCAGAAGAAAAGTGACGACGTAAAGTAATTATATTCATTGAAATTTATATGCATAATATGGTTTACTCAGTACTTTTGTTGCTATTTTTGCCATAAAATATGTCTTGCACTGTTACAGTTGGAAAATACCTTTCATTGTTGACAATGTTTGGCTCTCTTTTATTTGGGACATTTTTTCATTCAGAATAATGGAAAATTGGCTGAAATCTGGGTCTTTGAAAAGAGAAATGTAGTGAAGTCACTAAAGCATCTGAATCAATTGATTCAGTGACAACTAGCAGAGATGGAAGATGAATTCCACAAGATCCATTCGAGTCCAGCTCATTCAAGTTGTTCTCTCCCAAGTCGTGGAAAGAATCCTTACCAAAAAGAAATTCGGGAGAAAAATAAGAAGGTATGATCCTAGCTATCTCACGTTATATGGCTTTATTCAAGTTGGCAACGAACAGGCACCAGAAGGCCAATGCGTTAATTGTCACAAAATTGTTGCTAATAGGTGCTTGGTTCCATCTAAATTAAAAACACATTTGGAAAGTCATCATCCTGGTTTAGACGATAAGGCCGAAGAAACCTTTAAACGTCGTGCTTCATCTCTTCAGGCAGGGTCATGCATGAGGGAAAGAGTCTGCAAAAATAAAAACCAAAACGCCACTGAAGCATTTTTTGTTGCTTTGCACATTGCAAAAGCTGGAAAACTCCATACTATTGCCGAGGAACTGATTAAACCTTGCGTGAAGGATGTCGTACAATGCATTTTAGGTCCAGATATGACCAAAAAGATTGATAATGTGCAGATGTAAACAGCACTAAAGCAAGAGAATTCACACTATTTCAGACTTTGTAGAGAGATCGAGAGCTTATAAATAGATAAAAAAACTTGTGAATTCTTCAGTTTACAGCTTAATGAAAGTACCGACATTACTGGACTTGCTGTTCTGCTTGTGTTTGTGCAGTTTTCATTCGAGATGAAAATAGAAGAAGAACTCCTTATGTATGAAGAGCTTAAAAGTTATGCCACTGGTGAAGACATTTTCACGGCTATCCACGAGTATTTAAGAAAAAATGATATAGAGTGGAATGAATGTGTGGATATTTGCAGTGATGGAGCGGTTGCAATGGTTGGTAAAATTAGACGGGCGATGTCTAGAATAAAGGCATTCTTTGGCAACTAAAAAGACTTGTGTGTTTCACATCGACTTATCTCTGTGAGTCTTCTTTCTCCGCATATGCTTACATTAAAAACAAATACAGAAGCAAACTTTAAGCATCAAGGGATTTGAGGGACAAACTTACAAAGATTCCTATAATTATAAAGGATATAATAAAAACATCATCGAAACAATTCCATTCATCACGTTAAGCAAGGATATTTGAATATCAAATGTACTGTATTTTATTGATCTGAAATAAAGTTTATATTGAAATCAAATGATCCTCAGAATTGTATTTTTTTTCATTTTCTGTCGTTTCCCAAATCGCTTCAAGGGTTGGTGTGCTTTGAAATATTTTTAGCCCAACAGGGTGCCCTGATTAAGAAACTTTGAGAACCACTGCCTTAGAATTGTGCCCAAAAAACGCTGAATTTAAACATTCACATCACAAATGATTACACGTCACGGAATTAGGTGGAATTTGTAGCTGAAGTTGGTTTCTTCGAAAAACGTACTTGTGTAATTAAAAAGAAGTAATTATTATTTAAATGGTAATAAGCCACAATTAAAGGTTAAATAAAATACGTTTATTGACGTTTTCAATTTCCACTTCGGAAATCGTTTTGTAAATAAAGAATAAAGAAGCAGTTTTGTAATTGAAAAGAAGCAGTTTTAGATCGTTTGTAATGTGAAGAGTTTAAATTTAGCGTTTTTTTAGGCATATTTCAAATGCCTTAGATTTGGGCCGAAAAGTCAAAACCGAAATTTTTAGGCTATATGTTTTAAAGACTGGCGTCTAATAATGAAAATTCCATAGTGACCGGCCATGGCAGTGATAAATATTATTGATGTCATGAAGAATAGTAAAATATGGTAAAAAATCGCTAAACGTTTATTTATTTATTTAACACCCTTATAGAAACTGATTTTATTGCGGCAAAATGCAAAAAATTGCATACGTAAGCTGCACTCTTCACCTTTTACAACCAACATTTTAATTATTTGTCGATAGAGCACTCTTGTCATTATTTCTTTTAGGTCCCCTAATGTAAGTTTACTGTTTGTGTTTAGAAGAACATTAAATTTATTTAAATAAATGTATATTTTCTGTTTATTATATGCATTTTATATACTATTATGTTTACTACAAATAATTCAATCTACTATAAGAATAAATTTATATAATATACTTGCTCAAACAAGTTCTAAATTCTAAACTTTGATATAATATCATGAGAATTTTTAGCTGGCTAATTTAAATAAATAATATAAACTGAAATTGAAAATAGTTTTTTTTATTCAATTATCGTCATCAACCACGTGAGCTCTTTTCCAGGGGATATTAAAATATACAAATAAACAATTTGAATATTTTTGTGTAATTTATTTATTGTCAAAAAGTTTTTCATAATTTTTTGTGGATAAAACGCATCATAACCAGTTCAATTATCTTATCTTTTTACTTCAAAAGGACACAGTTTATAGTACACTCACCCACCTTCGGGTTCTTTTCAAAAGATATCGCGTTATATCTGTGTTCTAATCTCAGTCTGGTTACATGATCTATTACTACTACTATCGGTTTACAGCATTCTCCGACGCCTTTCCGACTAATAACCGCCATTCTTCCTCTATTCAACCATAGGCCTGGTGGTATATTTCTCTTTCCTCTAGTTCTTTTTCAATTTCCTCTCTCCAGCTTCTTCTCGGTCTTCCTCTTTTCCTTCTTCCTTGTGATGTCCACGTCAAAATCTGTTTTGGAATCCTGTATATCTGGCATTTCTCTGTACATGGCCGTACCATATTAACTGTTTTTTTTTTATGTCATCAACTATTGTATGCTTGACTCCCTGTCATTTCTCGTATTCTCTCATTTGGTATCCGATCTCTTCTTGATTTGCCTGCTGCTCTTCTCCAGAAGTCCATTTCTGTTGCTAGTAACAGTTTCTCTGTTCTTTGTTCATTGGCCATATTCATGATGAACGGCATTCTGTGGAACCAAATTCTGTGGAACCAAACAATATCTAAAGCGAACAAACAACTCATATACAACAACATACTTAAAAGTGTAATCACATATGGATTTTCTACCCTGTATGTTTCTGTCTTTTATAGCAGCATCGAGGTGTTCCATCTTGAGTTATCTTCATACCCAAGTACTATGTATTCATCACAGTTTCTAATTTCTACCCCATCGTCTAATATAAATGGACTGTTTTGTCCCTCCAATACACATGGCTTCAGTTTTCTTAGTGTTGACTTCTGAGAGTTTGACTTCGGGGTCTCGATAGTACATGATCTATTGCCTTCTACAATTTGCTTTCCGGTTTAATTGCTATAGTATGTTTTGAGATAATGCGTTTCATCTTACCATTTATCTCTTTTTATTGTCTATTTATAATTGATGGCTTTAATAGGTTAACGAATTTTTATTTCATTTTTACCATTCGTATAGCGCTTGTAAAATATATAACCTTTCAGTCTGCAAGCGACTAACAAATTTTGAGTCAAATAAAAGCCAAATCTAATACTATTCATTACGTTGTATTTGTCATTGTATTTCGTTCCAAGGGCACTAGTAACCAGACAGTCAAGATAAGCATATGAAGCATTAAGAAAGTTTTTATTTGAAAAAAATCTTGTAATACATTACATCATCATTTTGTAGGTATTTAAAAAACTGTAGTGGAGGTCAACAAAGGAGAGTTTCTCTAGCAGCATCTTTGGTCCATAAACCTGAACTTTTAATAATGGACGAACCCACGGTTGGAGTGGATCCCGTGTTAAGATACAGGTAATATGTAAAAAGAAAGATTTTTTCTTTTACATATAAATTTGATAACTGTAATTATCAAAATAGAATTTTGTTTAATTGTATGTATATTTTGTAGGATTTGGAAGCATCTAGTAGATATTACTAAAAAGGATAACACGTCTGTGATAATTACTACGCACTACATAGAGGAATGTAGACAGGCAAATAAGGTAGGTATCTCGATGTCTTCAGTTAGTACCTATGTATGTTAGGGAATCTTCATGATACCCTTCTGTTTTAGTCTTCTTTGAAAAAAATTATAATTAATAAACACAAACATACGCATTTATACCATATATGCCCCCACAGATGACCAAACGAACCAGGTGAAAGAAGACTTCTTTTAAGAATAGAAAGGAAAGAAAATACATCAAGCAAAAGAAATAATAATAAATTTAATAAAACAGCATGAGGAAAATACCGTAACTGACAACGGTGAAAGATTAATAGACTTTTGTGCAGTGAGTGTGAGTAACCAATACAAAGATAAAGATATTTACACATGTATAAGGACACAACCAGCAAGAGGAAGGAAGATCGATAAAATAGACCGTAGTAGGCAAAAATACCGAAGACATCAGGAAACTGAAAACTAGGAGAAAGAAGGAACTTATTTTTCAAATGATGGGATAGAAAACGGCATACCTATACAGCGTGTTAAACTGTTTAAATTTATAGAATAATTAAGTTTTTTTAAAATCAATTTGGTTCTACATTGCGAAGTTGAAAGTAATAAAATACATCGATTGTGGGGGCGGTACTAATCGACCGGTTTTCTAGCGATGCAAGTATTTTTTAATTCGTTAGTGTAAACTAAGAAGGCACTTTTTAACTTACAATTAGACTTTTAAGTACCTCCTTATTATTTTACGATTTGTCAAAGATGTAAGAAATGCCCAACTTCATGATTCACCAACAATTTATTGGGTATAAGCGTTCTGGAAGGTTGGGTCTGTATATTTCTAGTTTTTGCAACAGGTTTAATACAGTAAGTAATAAACTGGAAAAAGTCGAGTCTTACTTTTGACTTCTACTATTATTTGTATTTTTTTACAGTTTTACTTTCTGAAATATTATATGAATTAGCGACTGATTGAACACTATTAAATTTTTTTGACGTTTTGAATGTTTTGTGTTGTGTTATTGTGTTTATTTTTTATAATTAGTGTTGAGTTCACATAAATATGTTACACAACAATAACAATATACACTTGCGTGCATAGAAATCGGCCCACTGTAAACTTTTGACTTTAACTATATTTTTTTCAAGAAATGTTCATCAGATCACAAAAACAATTAAGTAAGCAGCACATTGGGACGCAGGTGACACAGGTGACGCAGTGCAGGGCAGGCTACACAGGTCAGAAAATATACGTGTCACGCAGTGTGAGCGCATATTTGGAAGCAGTCTTCTCGAAAATTTTGAGGTGCGAATATCGAATATATTATATGAACAAAGAAAGAGAATTTTATAATTTAAATAATGGCGTTATTTTTGGACAGTTCCGAATCAGAGTCAGACACAGAATTTGAAGAAACAGTTTTATTATTCAACATTTCAAAGAGAAAAAAATCATTTTGGAAAAGCAGGAAAATATGAGGAATTTGCACTATCATCAGAATTCTCTGAGTCTCGTTATTTAAATTATTTTCGGTTAAGCAGACAACAAGTTGATGAAATACATAATATAATAGAAAACAGTATTTATTCAGATAGTTGTAATGCCCAAAAACCAATAGGAAACCAAAGAAAAACTAGCTGTTTTTTTAAGGTATTATTTTTATTAATTTTGTTTTATTATAAAATACAAAAATATCATTTTAAACAATCATAATTCTATACTGTATAATTTTCCACAAAATTACGAATATTACCGGTATCAGCGGTTTGAGGAGAAGTCTCAGCAGACAACCTGGGGGTGAGTGTAGTAGATGAATAATTACTGGTGCTTCTAGAGTTGTAATCATTTGAGCATAAAAAAGAGTTTTTGGGAATAGGAGCTAGAGGACTATTACAATGTTGATTCTCAGTATACTGGCTACTGCGACTATAACTTGGTGATGGAAGAGGTGTTGACAAGTAATGGGGCTGCTGAATATGGGTATTAACATATGCACTTGTAAAAACTCTGTGTTCACTATGAGTGTAGTTTTCTTGACTGAGATCATGAATTTCTAGATATGCAGCTTCGAGCTGCGATATAGCTTGGAACACATCATTTCTTGCACGATGGAGGCATTTTTTTGGTTATTTTGTACACCGACATATAAAAATGATAGAGATCATCATCCAAAGGCTTCTGTGCTGCCCTTTCAACTGCTCTTTCTTCGGCCCTTTTTTGACGTTGCATAATTGACTGCTTTATCACTTCCTGTATATCATCATTTTTAGGTTTCTTATTTTTAGCTGCTTTGGTTGTGATTGATTGGTCTTCAGTTGCCTTACGTTTGACATTTTCTTTTTCGTTATTTTTTTGTATAACAATACCAGACGTAGACGGCTCATTAACAATGTCATTTTTAACACTCTCGATTTCTTCGGTATCATGTCGAATGTCGCTGGTCACCTCGTCAACAATTTCACTCTCTGGATCAACTATGGAGTCTTCCTGTTGTGGGTCTTCATCTTTACTATCTTCTTGTAAATTACTTATTTAATTTAAATAATTGGGATCGTTGGTATCGTAAAGAATTGTCTGGCTTCTCACCAATTCGATTAATTATTCATTCATTTCGAATATAACCACACAAAATTTTACTAGAAACAAACAAACTGCTCTGCACGTGGCACAGGAATCTGTGTCCGGACGACTGCGCTGGCAGGTTTTCTTAAACACAGTTCTGTGCTGCCCTGCCCTGCGCTTAAATTCGCGCGGGGTAATGTAATTGTACGGAAAACAGAAACCTGTGCTGTCCTACGCTGCGTTGCCTGCGTCACCTGCGTCTGAATGTGCGGCGCGCCTTATACTGCTTCGAAAGACAGTTTAAATATGCTTTAATGTGAGTATAAATTTAATCAAGAAGCGTATCGTTTTATATGCGTAGTAACCGGTAAACAAATGAAACGTGTTTTGGTGGTGATTGTCACGAAAATAACAAATTTGTCTAATTGTAAAAGTATTGCCTTTGCAAGTGAAATTTGCATATTATTCGTTTTTCATAATCTCAGCAGTGTTCAAGTGTGTTAGTTTAATGCATACTACACCACAAAAAGCCGCCCAAGTTATTGCTCTAATCGAAAATTGACGTCAGCGAGCTATTGCTAGACAATTGGATATGACACGCGCAGCGGTTCGAAAGTGTGCCAACGTTATGAGGAGACTGGATCGTTTCATAGGCGACCTGGAATAGGCAAACGGCGATTTACAACCGCTCGTGATGACCGCTTTATTGTGTCAACAACATTAAGAAATCGTCACCTTAATGCCGTTCAGGTGCAACGACAGCTCCGTGAGGTGCGAAGAGTGGCTGTTAGTCAGTGGACAGTGAGTCGAAGACTGCGGGAAAATAACCTGACCCCTAAAACACCTGCGATTGGTCCAAAACTTACTCCAGCTCATCGGCAAGCACGCCTGCGTTTTGCACAGGATCATCGGAATTGGACGTTGGAACAATGGGGATCTGTTCTGTTCTCAGATGAGACCAAAATATGCCTCTATGGTAGCTACCGAAGAAGGAAAGTGTACCGGAGACCAGGAGAGAGATTTGCAGAATGCTGCTTTGAAGAGCGGAGTGCTTATGGGGGTGGTTCCTGCATGATCTGGGGTGCAATTTCTATAGGAGCACGAACCGATCTTGAGTTCATTCGTAGGGACGACCGTGTTCACGGAAGAGAAGAGGTTTAACGGCTGCCAGATATATCGAGGAGATTTTAGCAATTCATGTGGTACCTTACGTCGACTACATTGGAGACGAATTTATTTTTATGCATGACAATGCAAGGGCACACACCGCAAGAATCGTGCAAGATTACATTGCAGAAGTCGGTTTTCAGGTTATAGACTGGCCAGCAAACAGTCCTGACCTAAATCCGATCGAACATTTATGGGATGAGCTAGAACGAAAAATTCGAGCTAGACTTCATACCCCAGACTCGATCCTAGAGCTTATTTTTGCAGCAGAAAAAGAGTGGCTTAACATCACACAAGCAACAATAGCAAACTTGATTAGATCTATGCCAAATCGTATGAGAGATGTTATTAGGGCAAGAGGAGGTCATACCCATTATTAAAAAAGTAAGTGATAAGTTTTAAATTGTCAATAACCCTATTTATGTTAATAATAAAAAAGCTTAATTTGCTTAATGAATTCATTTCACTATGTTAAACATAGGAAGCCGAATTAAGTTTTTATAAATTTATACTCACATTAAAGCATATTAAATTGTGTTTCAAACAGTATATTTGTTTTTGTGATGATGAATATTTCTTGCAAAAAATATAGTTAAAGGCAACAGTTTACAGTGGGCCGATTTCTATGCACGCAAGTTTATATATATATATATATATATATATATATATATATATATATATATATATATATTATATATATATATACAGTGTAGGTAAAATTTTAAGGTCGGTATGGTAAAATTTAACAGGATATCTAACGCAGATATAAAATCATATTTTCAACGAATTAGACAAAGATAACAATCATATTTCCCCTTCGTCTCCCCTCCTAAAATCCTTTTAACACTCATTGGCCATTGCCCATTAGTGAGACGATTAGTTCCGATCAGATATTCTCTGGTTCCGATCCTAATATACCTAAAAAACTAGAGGTGGGTCTTCTCGTTTTTTTAATTTTTATCGGAACCGTTTTTCGTAAACTGTAACTAGTTGATTGTTTACCAGTATTCAAATTAGCGAGTACACAAACATATTAGCTATTATCGTTTATGTGTATAAGTATTGAAATAAAAGAACCTAACGAAGGATATATTTATTGTAACTTGAAAAATAAATTAAATAATACAAATGGTACTTAAATAGTTACATTTACATTACACATTATTAAATCGCTAATCGTCTAAATTGACATTTAAAAACATAAGTTTTTCCACTTTTCTTGTTAATCGCGTTCTTCTTTTATTTAAAATTATAACAGATGTTAAACATGTGTTCACAAGGAAAAGATTTTGTTACAATACTACAACATTTTATGAATATAGTGGTTAAGTTACGATATACATGGCGATGGTTTTTTCACCACGGTAATGGACAGTTCCAATCTCCGTTCGAAATTGTTTGTGGGTAATATATCATCAGACAATTACATGTCAACTTCTTTTATACCTCTCGATACAGGTGTATGTTTAGATGAGTCATGTCCAATTAATTCATCAAAAATACACCATGGACTTAAGTCATCTTTATCAGTTTCTTTTTCTTGGACTGATTGATTTTCAAGATTTACTAAACTTTTCGTTTCATCCGTTTTCCTTAGTTAAAGAACCAGCTTTTAGAAAGTTTGCAGGGTGGATTCCTGGATATAAACCGCCAACAAGAAAAACTTTGTCAGGTTCATTACTTCAGGAATGTTATGTCAAAAGTGAGCAAATTATTAGATCGCAAGTTGTTAAAGAAGTAGAAAATATCTGTATTACTACTGACCTCTGGACATCTGGAGTAACTGAGAGTTACTTCGCATTAACAGGACAATATTTAACCGAAAATTTAGTATTCAAAACTTTTTTATTAGGCTGCTGCCATTTTTCTGGAAACCATAATCCAGAAAACAGCGATTACTGAAATTATTAATCAGTCGGGCCTAAAACGAAAAGTAAATTTTGCAGTAACTGATAATTCCTAAAATATGGTCAAAGCTATTAAATATGTTTTGTTTTATGATGATTGTGATTTATGATGATGATTAAATTTATTGGTGGGGGACGCACTTAAATGCTGTCGTGTACAAATAGATAAAATAAAAAGTCCTTTTTTCGACAATTCTGCAAAAAAACACATTTCAAAAAAGTACCTTATCTTCAGAAAGGCTTTTAAAGTATTAATTACAACAGAACACAGTTCCCAAACGGCCAATCCAAGACGTGGAAACTAGGTAGAACTTCACCTATTACATGTTAAAAAGAATGACCGAGTTAGAAGAGGCAACCCGTTCCACATTGGTATTAAATAATACAGACTTAGACTTAAACCTAATCTAAATAAAGAACACTGGATTATTTGTTCTCAACTTTCCCAAATTTTACGGCCGTTTAAAGAAATAACAAGTACAATGAGTGACCAAAAATATTTGAATGCTAGTTCAGTGATTGATATGGTACGCTGCCTGCAAGAATCTTGCAATAAAATTTTAGCAAACGGCATACTTACATCCATAGTATCCGACATAGTACAATTACTAATATCGGGTTTAGCAAAAAGATTTAGAGGGATAGAACAGAGTGGCACATTGTCATTATGTATATTTATGGATTCACGATTTAAAGTGCAGAACAAAACAAAAAGTTAAGAAGCTGGTTACTTCTATAATTAACGAACAAGAAGATTGTACTATTGAAAATCAACCAGTACAAGAAAAAGAAACTTAGAGTTTCTTTAAGAAGACTTAAGTCCATGGTGTATTTTTGATCAATTAATTGGAGATGACTCATCTACACGTACACCTGCATCGAGAGTCCATTACAACGGTGGAAAAACCATCGCCATGTATATCCTAACTTAACCACTATATTCATAAAGTATTGTAAATGTGAACACATGTTCAAAATCTGGTTTAATTTTAAATAAAAAAGAATACGGTTAACAAGAAGTAAAGTAGAAAAACTTATGTTTTTATGTCAATTTAGACTATTCGCGATTTAATAATAACGTGTAATGTAAATGTAAGTCCGATTTACTATTTGTATTGTTTAGTTTAGAACAGAATATTTAAAACAGAATGTTTAAAAATTGGAGGAAATACCACAGATCTGAGGCTTGAAAACGCAGTCATAAAAGGCTGCAACCAGTATAAATATCTAGGAAGCATCATATCAGCAGATGGCAGAGTTAAGATAGATGTACAAAACTGAATAACCCAAGGGAAAAAATGCATTCGAATACTGAATTCATTACTATGATCTAATAAAATAAAGATGCATACCAAATTTCGCGTATACAGAGCAATTGTAGAACCAATTACCACATATGGTGCCGAATGTTGGACGATGACAAAGAATGAACGAGATAAAGTAGACGTTGTGGAAATGGATTATCTTAGAAGGTCATGTCGAGTATCGAGAATGGAAAGAATCAGGAATGAGGAAATACGAAACCGTACAGGAATTAGAGATACTCTTTCAGATAGAATACAAGGAAGGCAATTACAATGGTATGGTCACGTGATGAGAATGGAGGAGGAGCGGTGGCCAAAGAAAGCCTTAATGTATGTTCCGCCAGAAAGAAGGAAAAGGGGAAGACCACCAAATTCCTGGAGAAGAGAAATTACAAAAACAATGCAATCTAGAGGCTTAGAAGAGGGAGATTGGGGAGATAGGAAAAGATGGAGGCTGAAATGCGGGAAGCGGCAATCGCCGTAGGACCCCCGTTATATGATGATGATGATTGTTTAGTTTATTTTTCAAGTTATAATAAATATATCATTAGGTAGTTTCTTTCACTTCAAAAGATATACACATAAACGATAATAGCCGTTATGTTTGTTTATGTAGGTACTATCTTACTTGAAACTACTTTTAAACAATCATAGTTACTTGTTTATGAAAATTAAAATTTTTAAATGCTTTTTAGCATTTAAAAAAATTTTAATTTTTTTGGAATCCTGAGAAAACTAACAAATATTGTTGAAAAATTTAAATGCAGAATGAAAGATTACATTATTACCGAGGGCCGAAGGTCCCTTAGAATAAACAAAAAGTTTTTTAATGAGATATTTGAAATTAAAAATCACACTAAATTTTGTTTTTTTTTCATCCCTATAACTTATTAAAATAAACATTATAGAAGTTTTCAAGGACTTTCAGCTCTCGGTAATAATGTATTGTTTCATTCTGCGTTTAATTTTTTCAAAAATATTTATTAGTTTTCTCAGGATTCGAAAAAAATGAATGCATTTAAAAAACATTGGCTCGAAATTTTGCTCCTACGCTCTTAACGATAAACTAGCACGACCCACCTCTACTTCTCGTTACTCGATCTTTTGACCAGACAACTATCTAGACTAGACGTTGCCAAATAAATTAGTGTATGAATATTTTTTAATTTGGCGTTATTGTATGCATGTTTAATTGTTTATTATTTCATATTGGGAAATTATTTTGATGTTTAGATTTTTAGTTCGGAAATCGTACTTAAAATACGAAACATTAATAAATTTTATTTATATAAAACGATTTCCGAAATGGAAATCAAAATGTTATATTACAATTATTGTAAAGAAAACTTGTGGCATATTCCCGATAAAAAAAACAGTAACCTGCCATTTAAATCAATTTCGCCCAAATTTGATTATCTTGAGCATTTTATCTTCTTGATAGAACATTGTTCAAATGCAAAAAAAACAACAGGTCAAATAAAACCAATCAGTTTGGCAACGTTGAATTTCCCCTTTTTTAATATTTCCATTCGGCGATATAAAGGGCGTACCTAATATACCTCTCTCTTTTTAAACAGCTGTTTCTCACTCCATCTCACGTAAGGTCCATACCGACCATAAAATTTTTCCTACACTGTATATATTTATGGCATTGACAAACCGTACATAGAAACTTTAGCAAATCTATACAGATAAGCAAAACTAAGATAAAAAATTATGAAAACACTCCAGAATTTTCCACTACCAGAGGCATTCGACAAGGAGAGGCAATATCACCAAAGCTCTTCGCTGTAATTCTAGAAAATATATTTAGCAAAATGAACTGACAGAACAGAGGATTATGCATTGATGGAAAATACCTCACCCATCTAAGATTTGCAGGCGACATCGTTCTGATTGCTTAGAATCCTGCAGAACTTCAAGAACTTATTAGCGACATAAATACAGCTATACCCTGGCCGCTTAAAAGATGGAATCAGAGGTTGCATGATCGGTCACTGCAAGCATCGACAGGCGGTCAAAACTAGATCTTCTGAGAAACTGTTTACACCGTCATTATAAATTTGTGTTTTACTTCCGCTAGCTGGTGAATTTTGTTGTCAGTGTTAAAAATTGTTTGAAGAGTTCACGCGTACGTATATTAATTTATATTAATTATTGTCTGAGTTAGGTTTATTAACGATTTTATTAATTGTGTGTTACGTTTAATAACCTGTAAAAATGGTGTAAACATATTATAGCGAGAGTGTTAGTCCGTTTTTGTTGAGCGGTGTAAACGTGGGAAAAGTGATAACATAGGGAGAGGAGTATTTAAGAGTGCGTGCCATTTACGTGATCATTCCATCTTTTCAGCGGCTCAACTATAGCAATGAAGTTGGACCAAAAATGAACTTCACAAAAATAAAAACCATGTACAACGAACTCGTGGATGTCCAAGATATAATAATAAACAACACTGCACTTAGGACAGTAGACGAGTATGTATACCTGGGACAATTATTACATAAATCTGGCTCCTTACTCCCACAAATCAACAGAAGAATGAGACCGGCTTGGGCATCTTTAGTAAATTTCATATTGTAAAAAATAGATGGCACTTTTGTACGCTAACCACTTGAGTCGGAAACAATTAGAAGACATTCGTTGGCCTTTCGTATTCGATTTTGTATTCAGCCCGACTGTCTGATGATCCAATGGGATGCCGAAATGACGTCATAATACTCTGTTGATTATCGATTCGAATACGAGAGGTTGACGCATTTTGCTTATACGCCATATACTGGCTTTTTATTATATCAAAGCCATAGTAAGATTTTGCTTAAAGATGTACACTTATATATATATATATATATATATATATATATATATATATGTATATATAAATACATATATGTATTTTATCTGTCTTCCAGATTGGTCTAATGCGAGAGGGAAGACTTTTAGCAGAGGAATCACCGACTAGGTTATTAACGTTGTTTAATAGTGAGACTTTGGAAGACGTATTTTTATTGCTCAGCAAAAGGCAAGAAGAAGGGCGATTACAAGAACTAACGTCACAACGTGTTGTAGATGACCAGAATAATTCTATGTTAGCTAATGACACCGCGGGATCCACCACTAGCGTAGCAACGTCGGTTTCTACCTTTGAAATCGGCCATGGTTCCACTGATGTAAGTTTTACGAAAAATTTTGTCTATTTTTCTATGGCAGATATATTTATTTTATAACTATAGGCATCTTCCATTCGACTCAGTTGATCCCCTCTTATTTTTCACTGTGTACCTACAGTTTGCTTAATATCATCGCACATTTGCGGCTTAGCTCTTGAACTTTTTGTCTTTATGGTTTATAGCATGCAACATCTTTTTTAATTTGATTTTAAAGTGCTTGATACTAAGGTGCTCTTTATATCAACAGGTTTTCTTATCACTTCATAAACATATATTTCCAATTATAACAGCTTTAGTTTTGATTTACTTTTTAAATGTTAAAATGTTATAAACTTTATAGTGCGATTGATAGGTAACTAATCGATCGATCTAAAATAAAAAAAAAAACGAAGCAATAACAACAAAGCAAATTATAAGTCATTTGATCCTTTATCCCATTTGAAACTTTTGGTTTGGAACTCTCAGTACGATTTTGTTGATTTCTGCCAAAATATTTATTTTATCGGGTTTTTGGCGTGTACTAATGTTCGTTGGGAGATTGTGTATATGTATAAACTTCTTTATAAAATACTATTTCATTATCTTCAATATTATAAGGAATCTAGTTATAGTACTACTTGTTCCATTATACCATCTCTTCCTTTGTTATGTTTCTTTAGTTCATTTTTAATTTTTTTTTAGATTTTAGCCAAAAAGAAAATATTAAAGGCAAGAAACGCCTTAAATAAGAGTCGAATGAAAGCATTGCTTGATAAAAATTTAAAACAATTTTATAGGAACATCACGTAAGTAGTCACTTTAAAAATAATTTTTCTTCAACTCCTTATTTCAGCTTCTATCAGAATTAACCAGCTCCTATCTTATCTAGAAATAAGTCTTTTACCATTACTGACCAAAATATTTGAAAAACTCTTTTTAAAAAGACTTAACTTCTATGACATAAACCTCAACAACGGTTTGGCTTCAGACACACTCGATCTACTGTAGAATGTGTGTCATAGATTTAAAAATGGAATTATAACGAGTCTAGAACAAAAAAGTGTGCAGTACACAATTTTTGAACGTACAAAAACACTCTATCATGTATGGTATCATTAACTTCTTTATAAGTTAAAAAAACTCTGTCTCTACCAATTTCTACCTACCTTAAACTTTTAAGCATACCTCATTGACCGATTTTTCCAAATAAGTTTAACTTTAAAACATCTAATTTATGCTAAAACCACTCTTATACCTCATACTTACGAGATACTGGTGTTCTTATGCCGATACCTTCTACCTTTATTTTACTATTAACTTGCATTAACCTTTTTCTTGTTGTTTGAAACGTTCTAAACGTTTGACATTCCTTTCTTCAGACAGCTTAGCTTGCTCCTTGGATGTGTTAGTTGTTGCTCTGGAAACCTCAGAGTATTCTAATATTATTGCCAAAAATTGGTCGCATTGCTCCTGTAATGATCCTTTTCCAAGTTAATTAGCTCCTTTTCTAACTTCGCTGCAGCGTACTGAAGACGACCAATAGTCAGAAATACGTACATATGGTTGCCTTCTATCACAAACACAAATTTTATTATATATTTTTCTTCCTTGTTGCGAGCTATGCCAATATTTTCTACCTTTTTTTATTTTATATTTTTCTTATATATTATCAATAATATATTTCTTCTTCTTCAAGTGCCATCTTCGTTCCGAAGGTTGGCGATCATCAGGGCTATACGTATTTTCGAAACTGCTGACCGAAACAATTCGTTGTTGCTACAGTTATACCATTCCCATAGATTCTTTAGCCAGGAGTTTCATCTTCTTCCTTTGGACCTTTTTCCTGCTATTTTCCCTTGTATAATTATTCAAAGCAGTTCATATCTTTCGCCTCTTGCAATGTGTCCCAAGTATTGCAGTTTTAGTTTTTTGATCGTAATTATGACTTCCTTTTCTTTATTCATTCTTCTCTCTCGGTCCATGATATTCTCACGATTCTGCGATACATACACAGTTCAAATGCCTCTAATTTTTTGATATCAATCTTTTTCAACATCCATGACTCCATTCCGTAGAACAGCACAGAAAGTACGTAACATCTCATCAGGCGAAGTTTCATTTCAAGGCTCAAATCTCTTCTGCAGAACACTCTCTTCATTTTAGTGAATATGGGTCTGGCTTTTTCTATTCTTATTTTGATTTCTGCTGAGCTATCGTTGTCTTCATTTATAAAAGTGCCTAAATATTTGTAGTTGCTAACTCGATCGATAATTTCATTGTGTAAATATAAATTTTGGACATTTTGTGTTGATTTCGATATTACCATAAATTTAGTTTTATTTATGTTCAAAGATAGTCCATATTCTTCGCTGCAGTCTGCTATCTTATTCACCAATGTCTGTAGCTCTTTAAGTGTTTCTGCGATCAGAACGGTGTCGTTGGCGAATCTCAGAGTCCTAATACCTACGGATTACTCAGAGTCTTCTATTCATCCTTCTTCGGAATAGAGATTAAACAGGGTTGGTGACAGTATACACCCTTGTCTCACACCTTGCTTTATTTCAATTTCTTTAGTGGTATTATTCTTTACTCTCACTACTGCTTTCTGATTGTAGTACATATTTGCTATTAGTCGAATGTCTCGTTTATCTAAATTCTTTTCTGTCAAGAGTTTGATTAGGTGATCATGCCGCACTTTATCAAAGGCCTTGTTGTAATCTATGAAACACACGAATACATCTTGATTTATGTCAAGACATCTTTGAGACATAACGTTCAGTGCAAACAACGCCTCTCTTGTTCCTAGTCCATTTCGAAATCCAAACTGGGTATTATTGATGTCCATTTCCAGTTTTCTGTGTACTCTAGAGTGTATAATTTTCAGGAATATTTTCAGTACATAGATCATCAGACTGATTGTACGGTAATTACTACATTGTTTGGCATTTATCTTTTTTGGTATAATAACAAAGGTGGATAAAAGCCATTCTTGTGGTATTTTTTCTGATGTATAAATGTTATTGAAAAGTTCAGCTAAAATGTGAATCGAGTCTTTTTCTATTAGTTTAAGGATATCCGTTGATATTTCATCTGGGCATGGAGCTTTACCATTTTTCATTCTTTTTAGTGCGTACATTACTTCCTCTACCGTTATTTCTGGACCTTCGTCTCCTTGTATGTTACTTAGCTCAGATTGTTGTCTATCATCTGCAAAGAGTTCTTCAATATAGTTTTTTCATGTCTTCAACTGTTTTTCTAGTTCTGTTATTATATTTCCGTTGACATTATATGGAATATTACGAATTATCAATAATATATTTACATTTATATTATTTACATATAACACAAATCCCGAACAGTGAACACCCTAACACATGCTACCACTGAAACCTTTAACGTACTCCAGATAAATTTTCGTTGTACGACACCATCTATATACACTATATACATTGTATATACAATATACACTGTAAAACACCATCTATGTACACTCTATATGTAAATAATACCAAACTTGAGCAAGTTGATAAAATCGTTTACCTTGAACAGCAATTAAATTGTTACGCAGAAAGTCACGGCGAAATTAGATCTAGAATAGATCAGGCTAGAGCTGCTTTTAGAAGGATGTCCAAGGTGTTATGTAACAGAGACCTAAAATTGGCATTGAGGATCCGCCTACTTCGCTACTACGTGTTCTCGGTCTTACTTTATGTCGAGTCCTGGACTGTGAATAAAATCGATCTAAATCGTCTTGAGGCTTTCGAAATGTGGTGCTATAGAAGAGTTTTAAAAGTTTCTTGGGTGGGGAATACTGAGATCATAAAAAGCATCAAGCAGAGAAAGCTGAATTATTTCGGACATGTAATGAGAGGTCTCAAATATAGGTCGCTTTAAAGTATCATGCAAGGAAAAATAGCAGTCTAGGACGAAGAAGAACCTCATGGTTGAAGAACTTGCGAGATTTGTATGGTGTTGATACAAGCATGCTATTTATTGTGGCAGTGAATAATATTAAGATAGCTATGATGGTAACCAACGTTCTGAAAAGACATAGTACATGAAGAAGAAGTACAATACTGGATCCGTTAAAAACATGCCAAGCAGAGTGGGCATTTTGCTTGGTTAATTATTCTGTGACAGGGGGTCTAGAACGAGTTGGTGGAATTCCAGAACAACGGGAAAAATTGTTGTTTTAATGTTAGTGTTAAACTACTGTAAATAAATACACAAATAAATTAAAATAAACATTACAATACTATAATACAATGAAACATTTAGGATAATAAATGTATTTGTTAATGATTTATTTTAGATACATATTTTAATTTTTTATACTTTCAGCTACAACTTTGACTAAATAGCTTTTAAACGTAATAAAAAGTACTATATTTTTAGGGGTATTATATTTTTAATGACATTTCCAATTCTACAAGTAGGGGTATTTATGGGAGCCGTAGGTGGAGACATTAGAAACATACCCTTGGGAATCGTTAACGACGAAGCAATGAGCGTTACTTGCCCAGGCTTTTCCTTTAACGGCACGGCAACTGCTACAGACGATAGAGCCTGTCAGCTTAGGAATATAAGCTGTCGGTTTTTATCGTATCTGGACCATCCCATGATAGACAAGGTCAGTAAAATATGGTTGTGTTTATATAATAGGCTATAATATAGGTTTATATAGAAAGTATTTTTTTATAATATTTTGATTGTTGAAATGATATATATTTACATTGATTAAAAATGTAACTGGTGCAAAGTATCACAAATTTTAATTTAAAAAAATTAATAGTCTATGATGCACCAATACAAAAAAACTTATTCAGTTTATTAGCTTACAAATACTAAAATTTTGCAACGAAGAATAACTAACTTTAAACGTTATTCAAAATTCATTTTACATTATTTTCTTGTTTCTTTTATGTTATTTTATATCTTGTAATGTTGCATACGGTGCAATAATTATTTTGCACGGAACTCAATAAAGACAGATTTCAGGACTTTGTAAATATGATGACGGCAATCAAGAATAAGAAACGGCGCCTAAAGAAGAAGAACATTGTTGGAATTTCTATTGGCATACAACATTTGCATGTCTCTGGACGGTCGTAGCGATGAGCATCCAGTAATGGATTTTGGACTTAAAAAGTTCTAAAGTTAAAATGGAAAAAGTGTCAAGAAAAATAGACATCTCACAACTGAAGAACCCTGAAAAGAAAAATGAAATAAGTATCAAGGTAGAGAAAGAAGGCTACTCTAAAAACGAAAATAACAAAGATATAATCAGACGACATCGGGTTCACGAAAAACAACAGAAAACAAGAATACATAACGGAAGAGATCATGGACTTCATGAACGTAAGACGAAAGCATAAAACAAACCCAATAGAATACAAACGAGGCAATAACATCATTAGAAAAAAGTGCAGAGAAGCCAAAGAAAGCTGGATGTCAACTAAATGCCTAGAAATTGAACAACTTCAAGAAATAAACGACACCTTTAATGTTCATAAAAAAGTAAAAGAAATGACAGGTAGATACAGAAAGAGACAATGTACAATATTAAGAAATAATAATAACGAGATAATTATAGGTACACAAGAAAAACTGGAGAGTTGAAAAGAGTACATTCAGATAATTTCTGACGATGATAGACCTTGTTCTCCACCATCCACGGTTGATCGAATAAATGAAAAAGGTCCAAAAATAATAAAAATAATATGCAGTAAAAGCTCAGAAGAACAGAAAAGCCACCGGTCCAGACAATATCAATGCCGAAATAGTTAAATTAATTGCAGACAATGAAAGTAAAAGCCTCGACTTGATAAGAGCACTATTCAATAAGATATATCACACAGGTAAAATACCATCAGACTGGTTAAAATCAACATTCGTAACGTTTTCAAAAAAATTCAATGCCTCACACTGCAAAGACTATCGAATATTAAGCATGATGTCCCATGCCCTTAAAATTTTTCTGAGAATCGTTCATACACGAATTTACAAGAAGTGTGAGTTTCAGATAAGTGACACTCAATTTGGATTTGGAAATGGATTGGGACCACAAGAAGCTCTTTTTGCCTTGTATGTGTTAATACAATGATGGCAGAGACATGAATGTAGATGTATATGCATGTTTTATTGAGTATTTGACTGCATTAACCATGAAATAATGATCGAAATTCTGAGAACAACTGAAATTTACGAACAAGACTTGCGAATTATCTCAGAACTATATTGACACCAAACGGCAACAATTTAAATAAATCACACAACATCCGAAGATATACGAATCCACCGAGGAGTGTGACAAGGATACGTGTTGTCAGCGCTATTATTTAATATGAATTCGGAATCTATGTTCAGAAAAGCATTATACGAGGTTCAAGGTTTAATCAAGATTAATGGAACCCGCATAGACAATATCAGGTACGCTGATGATACCGTCCTAATAGCAAGAAACGCAGAAGAACAATAAAATGTTCGGTTTACATCTAAATGTTTTTAAAGCTAAAATTCTAGTCTGTGAAAGTTGGATAATGGACTCTGAAATAGAAAAAAGAATAGATCCTTTGAAATGTATATATACAGAGGGATGCTGAGAATTCCATGAATACAAAAAGTTACCAACAGAGTAAACAAAAGAATTACACAGCATAATCAAAGAAAGAAAAATACAATACTTGGGGTGTTGAGAGGTAAAAGATATGAATTACTCCAAATTATATTGGAAGGCGAAGTGCAGGGCAAAAGATCAGCTGGAAAACGCCAGAACTTATGATGGTTTAACCGCTCATCCACAGAAATCTTCTACGCAGCAGTTTCCAAAGCTATAATTGTCATTTGGATCGCCAACCTTCGAAAGAAGATGGCGCAATGAGAAGAAGAAGAACGGTCGTACAAAATATGAGTTTGTCTTTTAATTGCCATGGTATATTTGGACAGACGATTCACGATTGGCTTCTTGAAAGTTGATAAATGTTTTACAGTATGATTGCAAATTGCTTGTGGCAAAGCTAGAAAGAAATGAGATATGACTGACTTCTATGATTTAAATTTTGTAAATATACTTCATACGATGTGCTACGTAAAATCGTGAAAAAAATTAATGAAAATTAACATTAATGCGTTTCATCTCTTTGTGAACTTTAAGTCAGCGTCCTAAGATGTAAATTGTATAAAGCCAAGTAACGTTCTCCATAAATTAATAAGACTTGTAAAGTCAACTATGAGTAAAGTGACTTGCAGAGTGCAAATACAAGGCGATCTGTCACAATCCTTTGAAATATATGCGGGGTTACGGTAGGGAGATGAGCCGGAGCAATTGATGGGTAATAGATGGGAAGGCATGCAGTTAGAGCTAAACACTTATGATGTAAGGCACCAGATGTTGGACATTTACGAAAAGAAGAAGAACAGCTGCATACGAAGGAAATAAGAAATAATGAAATATAATTAGGGAAGCCGACCATGCGTAATAGTAAACTAAAATTATTGAATTTAGTAATGATAGAGTATACCTACTGTATGAAGTAGCAAGTAACATAAGTAACCTAAAAAATATACTCAAATAATATAACTTATCATTTTACTCGGATATGATTTTTTTGTAGGTTCACTTTGAGACTCTCGAGGATGCCAAAGATGCAGTCTTGCACGGCAAGATAGTAGGAGCTATGTACATGTCTTCTAATTTTACATCATTTTTAGAAGAAAGAATCGATAAAGGGAAGGATATCGAGAAAGATATTTTGTCTTTGAGTGAGATTAAAGTTTGGATGGATATGTCAAGTAGGTTAACAATTTTTTTTATAAATAACTTCAATGATCCCATGATCAATTTAAAATTATCATTCAACTTGATAGAGATTAAAATAAGCTGTGTTTAGAAACTAGTCTGCACGAAATAACCTAGATATTTCCTGTTTTTACAAGCCATTATACTATACAGTAATAACCTGAGCTTGATTTACATAAAAATGGTTTAACAAAAAATGGGAAAAAGTAGTTTGACAACTCAAAGATTTTTTTCCACTGCAAAATTTTCTCATAGTCTGCTAATATTTTTTTATTTCTTGTTTTGTAAATAAAATGCGCTCTTCGTTGTAGTATATAATTTCCTTCAGTAAAGTTTCCAACCGTCATTTGATCTTCTGTTTGAACTAGATCTAAACAATCAATCTCTCCAATGTCTTGATCTTGCTCGTAGGTTCTATAAGTTCATTAGTTGTCAGCTCCTGATTGTTGAAATTCAGCAATTCTTGAACGTCATCACGATTAAGTTCTAAATTTATTTGCATGGCGAAATAAACAACTTCTTTAACCGCAGAACCAATTTCAACAAGCTCTGGCGTCAGTTTGAGCTCAGTATCACGGACAAAAAAAAAATGACACAGTTCTTTCCAGGTGCCATTTAACGTTTAACGTGAATGTAATCATTCCAAGATTATCCTATGATTCTCACTGCATCAAAATGCAGTTCATGCAGTTTTGCAAATGATCATCTGTTATAAACTTTTAGTCATTTATGTCAAGCATCTCTGTCATTAGATCTTTTGCGGCTTTAAAACCTGCAAAGGTTTTCTTTCCATGTGCGATAAAAGTTCTTTTAGGCACCTCCTTCCAGAACTTGCCAGTCTTATCTAAATTGTATATGATTTGGTTGGTGTAGCCACCTTCATCTATTATAACTTTTAATTTTTCTGGATACCAAGATGCAGCATCTTTATCAGCACTTGCCGTTTGCCTGCTTTCAGCAATGCTACGGCTGAACCAATTCTTACTAGCTTCTAACTTTTCATCTTTAGCGATCTGCCCAGCATCCTCGTTCAATTTCGAACTGCAAAAATTAGCTTAGCTTAAGAGCACGTCTTGTTCTGATTAATGACGTCTTCGAACGATGGTTGAACTTACAGATTGTGCACTTTTGAAAGCTTCAAGAATTTTTTCTTTGCCCTTTATAATTATTCTGACTCTCAATTCCATTAAATCAGGTTCTAGTTCAGGATCAAGTTCTTTGTTAATTCAGATTTGGATTTTTGTATCAAAATATTTAATTATATTAGGTTTACAATCCAAATATAACGTTTTTATTTACTTGTGTGATACAGGAAAATCAGTTATACTTCGTTTGGATGACATTAGTACTCTACAAATCTTCGTAGATACTATAAAATAAAAAATTCCGGTATAAAAATAATTCCACTCACTCCGCAGACCCAATCGTGTGATGCTCAAAATAAAAGACATAGACAAGATTTGAAAATCGCGTAATTCTGGTTAAGTGTAAGTCGAGGTATTACTATATTCAAACGATTCGCCTTCAAAAAGTGAAACTAAATGTCGCACCCAAAAGTGAAAAAGTTATTCATCATCATTCAGCCTCAAGAGTCCACTGCTGAACATAGGCCTCTTCCTCATGTTTCCAACCCCGTCTATCTTGCGCCGCTCTTATCCAGTTTTTATTGAGTCTTCTTAAATCGCCAGTCCATCTTGTAGGTGGTCGATCGACGCTTCTCTTGTCTTCCCTTGGCCTCCATTCCAATAACCTCTTTGTCCATCGCCCATCTGTCATTCTGGCTATGTGTCCTGCCCATCTCCATTTTAGTCTGGCTATCTTCTCGATGATGTCAGTCACTCCGGTTCTTCTCCTGATGTCTTCGTTTGTTATTCTGTCTCGAAGAGTTAACATTCCTAACATGGACCGCTCCATTCTTCTCTGCGCGACTCTCAGTTTGATAGCTGCTGCTTTTGTTAAGGTAAGTGTTTCTGCTCCGTACGTCAAGACTGGGAGGACGCACTGATCAAATACCTTTCTCTTTAGGCATGTGAGCAGCTCACTTTTAAAAGTTTCTCTCAGTTTTCCAAATGCTGCCCACCCAAGGCCGACTCTTCTCTTCAGTTCATGAGTCTGGTTATCTCTGCCAATCATAATTTCATGTCCCAGGTATTTAAAGTTATTGTTTCAAAGGAAATGATTTCTGGTTTGATCGATAACTGTTTCTAAACTCAACGAGAAACGATAACAAACATCTGGAACAAATCCGCAATACTACATTATGGTTTCATATACAGTTGCTGTCCAAAACTCAAATTTTCAATCTTACTGGATGTATTGCTAAAAATGTATTATTGGAAGTATACATTTGGAAATACTTAAAGGTTTTTATATTCGCTAAATGAAAATTGGATGTAGTATTAAAGTATTAAAGCTTATATACTACTGTATATTATATAGTTGATCTACTCCTGAAGTATTGGTATTACTCCTCAGTTTAATTTTTTATTATTTTCCTTAGAGTCTACTATCTGCTTTTATTGATTTTTATAATTTTTATAAATCTACTATATTTTCATTTTTAATAGATCGCCAAATCGGAGCTACCTTAAAATACAAGCTAATTGATTTATACACTAAATTCCAAAACAGCTTATTTGATGATTGTGACTTTGTTCCTGGTTTTGGAGACTTGCCCGTTAACATAAACTTCATTTATGGAGATGGAGATGAGCCGTATACAGTGTTTATGATACCAGGAAGTCTTATTACGTAAGTTATATAGAATTTTTTATTCAAAATAATTCTTAAAAGTGTGTAATATTGTAGTAGATTCAAATGCGAGGAGTTAAATTTTCTCTATTAATTACTATATATATACAATATTTTATTTTAATAGAAGCATCCGTAAGTAAAAAAAATGAATATCAAAAAATCTGGTTTAAAAAACCTTCCTGAGTTAGTATAACCTTCACAGTTTGTTACAGCTCTAGATTTTTCGTTTATACTCAAAGTGAATGCATTTTTGGTAAATTGCTACCGATTCTTTTGTAAGAAGCTACCGGAAGCTTGAATGAATACATTGTAAATGTTGCCCAGATGTGGAATGATTAGTTGTTGAAGCATGTAGCATATAGTATATATTCATATATCAGTAACATATGTTCAATAGAATAATGACTGGAGGTTTTGTTGGCAACATCCATGGAAGTCAATATCAATGGGTATGCATGAGTATCAATCAGATAACCGGATGACACGATGGTATTCGCTGACAGTTATGAAGCCCTCCAGAAGTTAATGAATATAATCACAGAGGCTAGTCAGAGATACGGACTTTCACTGACCATTAAGAAAATAAAATGTATGATGATACCTAAGAAGAAACAGCAAATTGAAAGAGTCAGCGTCATGGTCAACCAATAGCAAGAGTAAAAACATACACCTACCTTGGTACGAATGTCAATGAAAATTGGGACCATTCTCTAGACATAAAATGTAGGATAGAGAAAACAAGATCTGCATTTTAAAAAATGGCTAAGCTATTTAAATGCAATTTTTTATCAGTACCCATAAAAATCACTTTACTACGATGATATATCTTTCCTATACTATTGTACGGTGTTGAGTCGTGGAATCTCAAAGACGCTACCTGCAAGAAAATTAAGGCTTTCGAAATGTGGCTTTATTGTCGAATCCTGATAATATCCTATAGCGACCATTATTAAGAATGCAAAAAGAAAAAGAGTTGTTAACCACATTAAAAACAGCCAAAATCTAATGCCTCGGTCACATCATGAGGAACAGCGAAAGTTATGGATTGCTGCAATTAATTCTACAAAGAAAAATAAAACGACAACCAGGTCCAAGAAGGCGAATGATTTCCTGGCTAAAAAATCTACTTACGTGTTTTAAGACAACCAATAATCTTTTCAGAGCAACAATTTGCAAAATACAGATTGCCATGATGGTCGCCAACATTCGAAACGGATAGGCACTACAAGAAGAAGAAGATCCATGGAAATACATCAATACTTTAGTTGGTCAACCACTTTAATACAATACGTGCTACACATGAACGGAAATTATCTTGTATAAGAAGAAAGGTTTATGCTTTCCTCGATATATTTCCGGATCGTCCCCATATTTTTATTCAATGCGAATCTGATCAGTTAATAACACTATATGATATAGCCAATTGTTTTCTTCCCAATTTTGATATTCTCGACACCACTCTAATCTTGTAGAAGGATTAACTCTCGAAAGAGTTAGGCATCTGAATAATCATCAGCTATAATAATTTTATACATGGAGACGATTTTTTATAGAATCTTGAAATAGCGTTATTTGATGTGTCTGCTGTAAGTCGGTAACCAATACAAATGCTCTTATTATAGGTTTTCTTCTAGCGGTTATAACTAAAATATAGATTTTGAGCTGTAATAGTTCCTGTTCTTGATGTTATTCACCTCTCAGTATCTCAAAAACGCGCCAACTTATAATACTTTGAACTCTGTTCACTGTTGTCCTAAAAAGCTGATAAAACGAGTATTTAAATCACTCTCTGAGTTTGCTCAGCCATGACATTCGTTGCCTTCCAACACTATGCTTTCCTAAAATCTTTCACCAGATATTCTGCCCCAGAAGCTAGTATTTTGTCACTCTCATCATGTTCTAGCTTACAACACTATATTCTTAACGCACCTACTAAATAAGAACTGTATAACGTGATTAAAATCGAAACTACATGATATTTATTAAAGTATAAAAATTTTTTCCTGTAATTAAATTGATAAAACTTTTGTTATCAGTGCTTAAATTGCGTTTTCTGTTAACCAATAAAAATATACAGAATAAGTATTTGTAACCATAAATTAAGACAATTAGAATAAATAAGGACAATGATTTGAAAATTTTGCACGTGAAATGTAAGAAGCCTTTATCAACCTGGAGCTACAGCTCAACTCATAAAAAAATGCATAAAGGCACCTACCAGCTGCTCCTGTGAGCAAAAGTTTGCTTATGTTTGCATTATAAGTATTTACGCATCAACTGAAGAGAACGCGATGAAAAAAACATGTTTTCTGAAGCATTGGACCGGGAGTACGACAGGTGCCCAAAAAATGATTTTAATATATTAGCAGGAAAATTTATTGCCAAAGTCGGAAGAGGCAATATCTTTTCTCCCACCATCGGTAAAGAGAGCCTTTATGCAGACTCAAATGACTATTATGATCAAGAATATGATAATAGATGAGGCACGATTTTCCTACAAAGACCTACATAAGGGAACTTGGAAATCTCCTGATAAAGAAACGAATATTCTTCTTTCTATGGTGGACCCTATCCAATTAGTGGACGTTGGCGACAATTCTGGCATACTCCTCTCGATCTTGTGTGACTCTAAAGAATGCATGGGCATCGAGGTTTGTCCAATCCCTTATGTTTTTAAGCCATGAGTATTTCTTTCTTCCGATATCCCATTTTGCTGCTATCTTCCCTTCCACAATAAGCTTTAAGAACTGGTACTTGGAATTTCGAAATATATGACCCAGATAAGCAGTTTTTCTTCTTTTTATTATTGGCAGCAATTCTCGTTCCCTGCCCATTCGATTTAATACTTCAACATTTGTTGTGTGATCTGTCCAGGGAATTTTAAGTAGTCTTCTAAATACCCACATTTCAAAGGCCTCCAATCGGTTCATCACATTGCCCTTTATGGTCCAGGATTCTACACCATATAGCAGTACGGAGTAAATGTAACATTTTACAAAGCGATATCGAATCGTTTCGAAGCAGTTAAGGCTGCTGTTGCTTAGCAAGGTTATCATATTAATAAATGCTGTTCTGGCTTGCTCAATCCTGCTACGTATCTCTATGTCTAGATCTAGATCTTCAGTTATTTAACTAGAGAGATATCTGAACTTGGGGACCTTTTGAATTTTTTATTATTGTTAACTCTTATACTTAATTGCATATTTCGTGTTCTACTAACCACCATTACCTTCGTCTTGTCTATATTAATCTTCAAGCCCAGTCGTTCTCCTTCAGTGTTTATTCTATGTAAAGAAACCATTAACCAAATAGATCATATAGTCATTTATGTATTAGGTCTTTCAGAGAAGCAAACATCAGAAGTGTTTACTATTGTGTTAAGTCGCGGTTTAAAGAAATCCAATTCACGGTTTCAATGCATCAATCAAAAAAAGAAGATTAAAAAAAGAAAAGAAAACATAAATATTTACAAACTAAAAGATCCGGATATACCAAATGTATATAAGGAGCCAATAGAAGATAAAATAAAGACTGAAAGGGTTGAAGAAGAAAACGATATTTACATTTAAAATGCACCACACATTTCGCTACCACACATCACACTTTGCTATTTTTAAGTAACTTTTTGGGAATGCAACTCTCATTAATTTTTTGACTTAAACAAACGATGATTCTTTTGCAAAAGTTATAGCGAGATAGTGTGACTTAACAAAATGGAAATGGTCAAGATGATTGTAAAAATCTTTCGCAGTTTTTTCTGCATTTCGCATATCTTTTATAATACTGTTAACTTATTGCTCATAACAGTGGAGTTTAATAAATAATAGATTGCGCAAATCTTGTTCATGTGCAATTGATATTATATTTCTCTTTATATTTTTAGCATCATGTTCTTCATGGGTGCGATCATGACGTCCCAGATAATCATTACCGATCGACATGATGGTGTATGGGACAGATCCATTGTTGCAGGAGTAACATCTTTAGAGATTACCATTACGCATTTGGTTTTACAGGCTTCAATCTGTATAATTCAAACTGCAGAGCTGTTGATTGTGGTTTATTTGATCTATCAACAAGAATATTTAGGAAGTTTGTGGTTAATGTACTTGATGGTCTACCTTCAAGGTATTTGTGGAATGGCGTATGGTAAGTTTTAGTTGTTATTATTCGGGTGTGTTTGTCAGTGCACTAATATAGAGTAATACATTTTAAATTTGATCGTTAAAGCGGCGTTATGGTCCTAGGAGGCCGCTAGAAATATTTTCTTAAACAGAGGTCGAGTATTCAAAAGGACTAAAAAACACAGTCTTAGACAGTCAGAATGACAAACACGTTAGTTTTTGGGTAGATGAACATCCAATGGTGTTTCTCTAGCTTAATATTTAAATCATTTTAATCTTTTTGATCTTTAAAGCAAAAAGAAGTAAGGGACGATCAATAAGATGGACTGACACAGATAAACAACTACTGATAAAGATACAAACTTCGCGATTGTTCTACATTTTTTGTTTTAAATAAATATCCTTTACATTCAATTTTAGGTTTTTGGGTATCTGTTATCAGCACTGATCATTCCATGGCCAATACTGTTCTAACAGGAATATTTCTCCCAATGATGATGTTAAGTGGTAAGAATTATTTAATTATAAAGTTATATAAAGCAATGTGCCTTCAAGGTAGTCTTCAAACCATCTTATGTTTCACCGTATATCCTCCTATTACTAAAAAACTATGTTTTCGAACATATATATTTGGTTTTACTTAGTTTAATTTAATCTAAAATCGACTATAGCAAAAACGTAACGAGAATATTCAAAACGAAAATGGAGCGTAGATAATAAACTTCTTTATAAATAACAAACTTAGAATAAAGCAGCATTTTTTAACTACAAACACCAATACAAATATACATTTAATAACATCAGTGGACAAAGGTCCATGATATATTATGTTTTAACCAGCAAAGATACATTCATCAAAAATAATCGACGTAAAATGGCTCAACTCAGCAGAATACGAAAATAAAGAAGAGAAGATTGTAAAAAATGAAATATTAGGAAAAGATGGAAAAAAACTTAGAAATAACATACATATTAACGCAGTATCAGAAGCACTTGAAGAGAGAAAAGTAACAAACACTAACATATCAAAAAAGAAAACTCCATGGTTTAGAGAGAGGAAATAAAGACAAATTATAAAGGAAAGGAAAAAGCCTTTTTACAGTAAAGAACACCACAAACACCACAAGCATACAACCACTATAAACGTATCAGAAATAAAACAAATACTTTTAGAATGCAACCCTCATTAATGTGGACTGCATTTCTCGATACCGTCCACAATATAATTTCTACAAATACCACGTTCAGTAAGGTGTATACAACAACCTTAAACCCTGGATAAATTGAACAGAAATAAAAAAATTAATCACAAACGACATCTCTAGCGAATATTTAAACACATCGGGCTTCTCAGTGATTTCCAAAACCAGTGCAGATTTTCAAAAAACTTACAAATATCCCTAAAACCTTCAAGACAAAGTTTTTAAGCAACTGTTATTCCTAATAATATCCCTAAAACCTTCAAGACAAAGTTTTTAAGCAACTGTTATTGAAAGTGGTGACAGTAAATCAGTCTACAAATGCGTCCAATCCTCCTTGACGTCTGAAGTTTCCATTTCTGTACTTCTAAAATCTAACCAGACTTTATGCTCTTTTGACAAAGCGTCTTCCAAAACTCTCTCTTTACCATTTTCACATGTTTTTACTAAAGAATCGAATGATAGCACTCTACCTCCTGTTGAGTTTAATCGTATTAGGCATCCTTACAGCAAGTTGAATTCACAGTGGATCATGTCAAGCAACAATTAATTAAACTTCGCACAGTCGCTTCCGGTTTAGATGGTTTAACACAAAACCTGTTAAAAAGATGCGCCGATATGCTTGCAATACCTTTAACGTTTATTATGCAGACTTCGTTTATCCAGAATTTTTTATCCCCTAGTCGGGAATTAGCATCCGTCACTCCTATTTTAAAAAAAGACAACAATCTCGACCACAACAATTATCGTCCGATTATCTTGTTGATAGTATTTGGCAAAGTCATGGAAGCCATTATTTCCTAGGAGATGACTAAATTACTTCTTCAGGTACATGTTATTTCAACACAACAACATGGATTTGTCTCTGGTCGCTCTATTCCAACCAATCTTCTACATTCTGTTAACGACTGGACGCTATCTCTTAACATTTAGCAGTCACTCGAATTTCTTCTACACTTCGAGACTTCTTTTCGGAGTTCGCGGTACTTTACTTCGTTGATTTGGTTAGATGATCGAACCTTTTTCCCAGGACAGGTTAGTAGAAAGTGGAGTGTCTTAGTGTTCTGTCTTTGGACCTCTGTTTTTTACAGTTTATACCAGCAACGTTCCTTATTATGTTTCAAATAAAATATCGTTCTATTCTAATGACAGAAAAATATATGCCAGTTTAATTACTAACCATCTAACCCTATAAATGGACTTGGACTCTATTTTACCTTGGAGTTCCAAGTGGCTACTACACTTCAATACGAAAAAAGTGTAGTGCTTCGAATTGGTAAAAATAGCCCACTTGTGTCGTACTTTGTTAACGGACAAGCATTAGATTCTGTGTTCTCGTATAACGACCTTGGTGTTATCGTAAACAGAGGCCTAACGTGGTCCAAACATATTACTTCTATTTGCAAACGTGCGAACTCCAGACTATATCTTACTCGGAGGTATTTTTTGAGAGTTTCCATGCAGTGATCCTGTAAACTTTACACTCTTTAGGTAAGACCGATTCTTGAATACTCTGGTCCAACGTGGTATTCTGATTTAGTTCGAAACAAAACTTTGTTGAATAACGTTCAAAGAAAAGCCGCTCGAATTCCTTTGGGACCGAGAAGACCTTCTTATATAGAAAGCCTTAATATGGCTAACCTAACTTCTTTTAAACTTCGATGACAACGTGGAGACTTAATGACAATATTTAAAATAATAAATTTCAATTTTGGAAATCTCGACGACATGTTCACCATAAATCAAGATGAACGTCTCAGAGGTCACCAGTTTAAACTTAAAAATGAGAACTTTTCTAAGATCAAGACAAAACTTTTTATCAAATCGAGTTTGTGAGAGATGAAATAACCTTAGTGACAACACTGTTTTGTGACAACACACATTTACTAACACGTTTAAAACAAGCTTGACTGTTTTCTATTGTAGTTAAAATATTGTTTTTCGTTTAAACCAAAATTTAATTGCAACTTTTTATTTAAATAATTGTTGGATTCGACCGTTACTTGATGGAAATTCATTTTATGTAACAATAAAACACTGAAAACTTTGTTTCCAAGTGTAAACGCATGCCAAAAATATATCACTTAAGAAAGGCTAGAAGCCGCAGCTGTAGTGATAAGAGTTTAAAATAAATTGTTTGGAAGTTTTGAAAACGAAATTTTCAGTGTTTTATTGTTACATGTTATTTTTTATATTTTATCTTATAGAGTAGGTTACTTAAATAATTTCTTTGTTTTTGGGTACAACAGGTACTTGTCCCTCTACCCTTGCTTATGTTTCATATTAATATTAATAATAATATTACTTTACAAAGACGACACGTATTTTATTGGCTTTAAATAAAAACTAAAACAAATCATAAGCTGGCACAAATAATTAAAGGAGCTTTTCTTTACCTCAATATTCTTCTTTTAGGATTGATGTGGCCAACAGAGGGAATGCCTCCAGCTTTAAGAATCTTCTCTAGATGCCTTCCATTTACGATGGCAATCGAATCACTGAGAAACGTATCTAAAAGAGGTTGGTCGCTGGACAACTTTCAAGTATACAGCGGGATGGGAGTAGGGTTTATGTGGACAGTATTCTTTGGAGTTTTGAGTGTATATTTGATAAAGAAAAAGCGGTAGTTGGTAAAAATCAAAAATAATGTAATAAAGTTTGGCATTACATATTTTACCATAGATAAAGTTTGGAGTGATTGTAGAAAATAAACTATATAGTTGCATATTAGTATATTTCCAGCGATAAAGTTATTGAAAAATTACAGAAACGATTGTAGTAATATCGGCAGGTATTTACTAATATGTATAAATACTTATATTAAAAGGAGCAATTACACATTCTATTTAGCAATGAAAAAATATTCACTGATGATTGTTGAGTAAAATATTAAAAATACACTCCCCACAACTATAAATTTGTATAATTTTTAAGAGTGTTTGTATTGTTTTAAGTGTAAATAAAGAAATAAAACATTTATTTTCAAATTTATTTCATTATACGACAATTCTCACTGCTGCAAAAATATTCAAGTTCCCGAATCAGGTAAACCAAAAGATATTATGTCAAACATCTTAGAGAAGTTGATACTGTCAAGAAAAGAACCACCCCTAACAGATCGTGAACTAATCCCTGCTCACCAGTTTGGGTTCAGACTGGCTGGATTCGGACTAGGCCAAATTCTAAAAATTTACAAAGAGAACCAAATTGCGGAAATGATTATAAGAGCAAAACTGGCATGGGAAGGGTTTAGAAAGCTCAGTTGGATACTTTAGAACCGCAAAATACTTCGAGCAAAGTGTTCATCAGTACATCCTTCCTGTCATGACATATGGATGTCCAACCTGGACACTAATCAACTCAAATATGAGTAAACTATCAACAACAGAAAGGGCAATGAAAAGAGCAATGCTACGTATACGACTAACAGATAAAAAGAGGAACGACTGGGTTAGATAAAAAACAAGGGTCAATGATTTTACAACAAAAATTGCCGAACACAAATGGAGCTTCGCAAGCCACACTGCTAGACAAAAAGACCAAAGGAGAGACCATTGGAGACTTGAGATTGGAGACCTTACAAAGATATACGACCAAGAGAAAGACTTAGAAGTATGTTGATCAGGATAGAGATCCATGGAAGGAGTTGGGAGAGGCCTATGTTCAAAAATAGACGACAGAAGGCTAAGAAGAAGAAGAAGAGATGAGCGTACGTTACTATAACTAGTTGATTTCGGTGTTCCCCAGGTAGGGTCAGTGTTATCCTTGTTGTACACAGCGGATTTAGGAACAAACAAGAATATGACGACAGCCTCCTATGGAGATGACCGTAAGGCTGTTCATATTACTTTTTTCAACCGCAAATGTTATTGCCCACCAGTATTTTTCAAGAGTCATCAGCTACAGTAGCAAGAAACTTTTAAATACTTTAGACTTAAACTGAAATTAAACTGTAAGTAGAGGAAAGTAAGTAGAGGAAAGGAAAAAACTATCCTAATTTCGGATAGTTTTTTGTTTTAGCTTATACATTTTAAAAACTGTTAATTTTGATGTGTTATTGGTCAAGAAACAAGTTTATACATAATTGAAACAATATAAACAATTAGGATGTTTGTTAGGAAGGGACAGCATAAAATTGGTTGCCTTATTTTGGACACCCTGGTATCTTTAAGTAGAATAAAAAAATGCAAATATTAGGAACATAAACTTCATTTATTTATATTATGAATAAAAATTAAATCAACATTTATTTTTCTAAAAACAACAATCGCATACACATATACTTCTTCCTTTTAGAACTATTGGTACAATCCTCATGCGCACATCGTTGACAAGACTAAAACTTGATCCGCCCTTCTTACTTGGTATCCTCCGAAAAAAAAAACCACAGCAAAACATACATTTTGTATCATCATCTACTTGCATCCATGTCAGAGTCGTTGTTTAGAATAATAGAATCATTTTCAGAGTCGCTCGATGCATTCGAGTCTCAAGATTTCCGCTTGACTGACTTATTATTTTCTAATGTAGCTTTGCCCTTATTTAAGGTTGCCTTGCACTTTTTTCCAATCTTTTGTTCTTTTGTAATGTTCCCTTCCTTTCCTTCTCTCTTATGCTAATTTCTTTGAACCTTATCTTCCTTTCTTATTATTCAGATCTACATCACCTGATGTTCCATTTTCTGTTCAACTAGAAAATGAAAATGGACTGATCTGTTTAGGTCTTACAATCTTATTTATATCTCCTCCATTTGTTGCTTTAGGCCGCCCTCTTTCTTACAAATTTTCCAAACAAAAACTTTCTGAAATTTTTACTGGTGTTCTCTCCATGCGTTTCATCAACTCAGCTTCAAAGCTGGGACAAATCCACCAATTGCGCTCATACAAAACACCACAGTGACTATAAGTATAGTGAACCTCTATCAGCAGCAGCAGTCACTGCTTCTTAACTTTTAGGGAAATAACGCGAGGGTTTTTTGTCTGTTGGTATTTCTTTTTCATTAACGTTGCAGATTCTCTCTGGATTAAATTTGATTTTCTCCAAAAGCGGCTCAAGCAAGCTAAAGAAACGTGTTACGTTTTCTTCCCTCCACGTCAGTGCTCGAGTCATTAAATAAAGCACGCTTCGCTGATTTTGTTTTCGTTTTCTACTTTCCTTTAAATTTTTATTTGCTTCCTTCATTCCTCTTGTTACTTTTCTTTCCTTTTTTCAGTTCCAGATTTATTCTCTCAAGCCTTTCCATTTCTTCTTTTTCTACTTTTGCGGCTACAAGTTCCATCTTGAAAAGACTTAGGTTAAAACTGCAGCTGTTCCTTTTTTTTCGCTTATTTTCTCGTTTGATAAAATTTGCTTTAGGGATTGGAACAATATTCTGTGGACCTACAGGAAAAGTATAGTGCCCCTTACCCTTGAAGTTGCTGAATAAATTACATGAAGTGCTGAAATAAGGCAGTGGACTGGATGAAATATTGAAAAACTGAAGCGTTAGATGCAGAGGTTGCCGATCGGAATTCTATCTCTCCAGAAAGCAGGTTGTCTTTACTTGTAAGTGGTGTCTCTTGACGTCAAGGAATATTTTGTTGCGAATCTGCCAAATATTTGCCTGGTACCACAGCAGAAGTTTCCTCTTGGTATTCAACACCCAGTTTTTGATTTTCAGCTTCTTGAAGAGAGATATAATCTTGCACGCCTGCCACAATTTCCAAACTTCTTTACCGCAATAGTTGGAGTAGCTGTAAATGGAAATGCCTTTTCAGGAAGTTCAGATACCTGATACTGTGTCACTAATCTACCAGGATTATTACGCAAGAATTTTTCGATCGCTTGGACATAATAAGTATTGAAGAGCCCCATGAAAGAAATATCGAGTGGCTGCAGCTTATGACTACAGTGGGGGGGAATGCAAACTACAGTTCTCCAGCCCTTTCGATAAAATCTAGAGTTTTTGTATGGGTGGAATGTCCATCAAGTATGAGCAAAACTGGGTCGTCTTCGTTTGGCTTTGCAAACTTCAAGAAATGGTCAAACCATTGTGTGAATATCTCATTTTGCATCCACCCTGAAGGATGACAAACAAAAGCTGTTCCAGGTGGATCGCCGTCTTAAAGTTCCACTTTCATCCGCTAACTAGGAAACTAGGAAAGATGATAAAAGGAGGAATAAACCCCCCCCCCCCCAGCTGACAAAAATTACAAATGTGCTGAGAACACCTCTCTCTGCAGATATAAGAGATCCGATTTGCCGTCGCCCTTTTAGAGCAAAAACCTTTGAAGACTTTACCTGGACAGTCATAAGTCCAGTTTCATCAAAATTGTAAATCCTATGAGGAGGATACAAGTGATGTTTTTGAACATCCCCCAAAATTTTAAAAAACTTGGTTACATTCCTTTTGTTAAATGCTTGCGCCCTTGCTGCTAAAGTCGCCTTAGGTTTTCTTAATACAACCTCAGGATGGTGCTTTCTGATCCCAGTTATCCAATCTTTTCCTGCTAATTTCGCTTCCTTATTAAAATAATGAGGGATATTATTCCCTTTAGGCAGTTGGTAAGCAAGGCTGCACAAATCAGCTGCAGTAATTCCAAAAAGACGTACCTTCATCTCCAAGAGGTCATTTACCAACTGCTATTCTTGTTCTTCATTGAAAACAGCTCGAAAACGGCCTAATACTTTTTAATTGTCAGTGGCGTCTTGATTTTTATTTGGTACGCGACGTTTTAGTGTGTTCCTAGGCACATTGTTAGTTTTAGTAGTCTTTTGATAAGGCATCAATTGCTCTTTGCATCATACATACATACTACAATAAGTGATCTTGGAATATGATTACTAGTCTACACTACTTGTTAAAATAGATTTGCTGCAGGAGAAAACCCCTAAACCAGACCTTAATCCGTAAGAATTCAAATAAAACACACGCTATTATGCTTTTGAAATGGACGTTCAAATGAAAGAGTTGACGGCCCCGTCGCTGTGTATTAACACCGTGACCGTACTGTCTACTGCGCAGTAACAACCAGTTACCACTATGCCCGCAGTGGCCACTATGCCCACCCTTCCCCTAGATTGAGGAATATATTGGGAAGTAAAAACAAAAAAATTATTCGATAAAAAAACTTTTGTATTAATCAAACAATAGTTTGATAGATGTAGACAATAGTAAAGTTTGAAAAACGAGAAAAAGAAATGAATATACGAAATAAAAAATATATTTGGTAAAAGAGTAAGAGAGTAGTAGGTACCTGTTATACAAAAGGGAAAATTGAAAAAGCCAGGATACTATAAACAGTTGTAAACCAATTAAAACGGGGCAATTTAAAATCTATTCTCATTCGTTTTCTTGTTCTCCTGATAATTAATCTAAAAGATTTAGTAAAAGTCGTCGATAGAAACACTTTTGTAATGAAAATGATAGTTCCAATTAATTAACAAAAGAATTACACATTTTTTTCTGGAAGTTGGTATAGAGTTGGACACAAACAGTGGTGTCTATTTACTGATCCAAAGGATGCTACATATTGTAGCTTGTAGCCAGCTTAGTATAATAAGATTGTCTTTTTCTTCATAAAAATGAAAAATAATAAAGCTCCTGGGCCGGGTGATTTACCTATCGAGCTATTCAAACATGCCACTGCAATAACATTAGAATTGCTTTGTAAAATGTTTAACAAGTGCCTACAAGGAGAAAGTATCCCAAAAGATTGGAAAGTCTCGTACATAAACTCCATCTACAAAAAGGGAAACAGGAATGACTGCAATAATTACCGAGGTATCAGCATTACGTCATCCACTGGCAAACTGTATGAAAGAGTTCTGAAAGCCAGAATAGAAAAAGAAGCCACAGAGATCGAAGAACAAAGTGGATTCCGACCAGGGAGATCTTGTGTCGACAATGTATTTACTCTCAAACATCTAACGGAAAAGAGATTAGCAAGAGGACTAGAACTTCATGCCACTTTTATAG